TGAGGTTTGAACCGCCGAACTGCAGCTAGCAGTCAGCTGAAGTGGCTGCAGTACTGCACTCTAGCCACTGCGCCACCTTGGCTCTTAATACAATTGTCTACTGTTGTGTACTGTTAGAAGAATGACAGGATAAATATGTTTTTACAAAAAAGTATACATAGAATTACCCTGGTTACTAGCACTGTAGTGTAGTTGCAGTGTTTATCATAACGTGCTTGATGTACCTTTGAGCTTCTAAAGGATCTGGTTGGCTAATTTCTAGGGACTTTGATCTCCCTGATTGAAGTAGTTCTTATGTCTTCTTATGTCAGACAGCTGTTTCATTCTGTTTATCTAGTCCACAAGCCTCCGTTAATTCTGAGTTAAAAACAGCTTATAAAAAATGTAGTCTTAGGAGTCACCATTGATGATTGTCATATTTATACAAGACAAGTTGTAAAAAAAAAAAACCACTACGATTATTTGCGTACTTTTTTTTAAAATCCACTGAAATATATGTCTTTCCCCTTCGTGTGCTAGTCTTTCATTTCATAGTTTCTACAGCAAAAATTATACTTCTAGAACTTCTTATGTGTGTTTGTGTGCGCATTGGTACCAGCAAAATAAAAGCAAGGTCCTTTTCTTTCCATGTCTGTGTAGCCGTGAAATTGTTGATTTCTTCACACATTAGGAAATAACTGTGATCGATAGCTCCGTTTACACTTTAGCAACACGATCTCAGAAACATGGGTTGGCTTAAAGCAAACATTTAGTACAAAGTAAGCGTCTATTTTGTGGGTGTGGATGTCCATGCGCACACATCCGCGTATGAAACAACAGTAAATGAAAAGGAATGTTTTATTTAAATCTAGAAGAAAGGAAGTAGCAGTTGTTCAACAGGATATTCCATACGCAGCAGAGAAGTAGAACTGGGAGGGGGGGAAGTGTATGTGTAATTGGTGAAAAGAGCAGTGGATTCAGCAGGTTGGTGAATAGCAGCATATTAGTGCCATTAGCATTAAAAAGCATTACGAACTATTAACGTTTTGTATAGGAGCAGCAAGATTTTATCTTTGAAGAATATGCTATATCTAGTTTAGACTGCTTCCTTGAACAAATACACAGCAGCTGCCTCAAAGAAGTTGCAGGAAGTTTCTGTTCTTTTCCCATTCCGGAGAATTTCAATAAATCGGCACAACAGTAACTAGGAAATGATATAATATGAATATGAAAACAAGATTGGTTGCAAAAACAGAAGCTTCCTTGGATGTTAGAGGTAAGAAATTAACTTTGAAAGGTTATTTATATTAAGTGGTACAAGTCAGAATCTTTTCCAAAACTTTAAAAAAGTATTTTGGTATCTTATGTAATTTTTTTCCAGGGAAAAATAGTATTTTCTTTGTTTCATGTACATTTAAAGCAAGATGATGGTGAATATGATATGGTATATTTGTATATTAGGACAGTAAGTGCTGTGTTAAGACATTATTAAGTTTTATTGATTTATCAAAAAGGCTTATCAAAAAGGGAGACTGTTTTTTCATGTTTGTTTTTAATTGTAATACTATAAATTTCTGTTCCTTACTTCTGTTTATTCCAGTTAGACCTGTCCTTGAATTAGACCTGTACTAGAATTGCCATAGGCTTTATAATATACTCAATTTCAGTTTTGTAAAAATAATATAAAAAATTTGAAATTTATAACATTATTTGATCCTGTTTATTAGACTTTATGCATTGTTGTCTAGACATAGCATCAAATTTATGTTCTATTCATTTAGCTTTATTTTGTTTAACCTAAAGGTTACTAGGAAGGCTGCTGCTAATATCATATAAAGAATCTTAAAGTCCAAATCCCTTTGATTCCCGGTAAAATGAAACCTGCATCTGTATGATTTTAATCTACTTGGACTTAATGTTCAAGCTTTTTATTATTTATAAAGGTAAATTCATTTTTAAAGCTGGAAGGATTAGGGAAAGAACAATAGATACTGTGTATGAATAATCATTACACTTTCTAAAAAAATTCAAGTAGTGAATATATAGCAAGTCATATCATGGTACCATGGATTTGGGTGAGGAACTGCAGATTTATAGAATAAATTTTGCAAAAAAAATTGCTGCTGGAAAGAGTGTGCTTAGTCTAGATTTCCTGAAGAAGCCCTTCAAAGGAGTTTGCTGTTTCAATAGTTTTAATATTTGTAAGCCACCCAGATTCACTTATGTAAAATAGGGTTCACCGACAAAAGGGTGAACGACAAAACCGCGCCCGACTAAACCGCGGTGATAAAACCGCATGTTCTAAAGCGCTCCGACGAATGAGCGCTGAATCGCGCCGACAACAGCGCGGAGACAGAAGCGCGCTGTAAAACTAAACCTAAACCTATTCCCTAACACTAAACGTAACGCTAAACCTAACCCTAAAGCTAACCCTTAACCTAACCCTAAACCTAACCCTTAACCTAACCCTAAACCTTACCTTAAGTTAAATCGGCTTTCTGTCTCCGCGCTATTCTAAAGCGCCCTTCTGTCTCCACGCTGTTGTCGCCGCGTTGATGACATCGCGGTTTTAGTGATGCGGTTTAGTCGGGCGCGGTTTTGACGTTCGCCCTTTTGTCGGGTCACGGTAAAATAGGCAACTATATAAATCAATCCAACAAGCAAAAAAAATGTTTATGTTACCTGCAGCTTTTATGCTGCTATATTTTTAAGAGACGGCCAACTTGCAGATTCCATTTGTTCTTAGTGTTGCAAGTTTGCATTCCATTGTCATCAATCATCATTATCAATGATTGCTGTCATATGTCAGCTGAGAGGGCTCAAGCAGAAGACTTAACTTTTTCCACTTTGAGTCTATGGACACTAAAATATGACATCTGGGGACATAGGAGCTATTCAGTCTTGTATTTTAAAGTTCATGTCGTATAGTATTTTAATTGTGATGCTTCTTAGATGAATAAACAAACAGGAGACACCCCCATCTCCATTAGTCTTTACTGTCTGATAAAATTAAAGCTTTACCAGGAGTTTTCCTTATCCTGATGTATTTAACTTCTTGCTGCCCTGATATCAGAGGCCAGGCCTGTAGATGATTATCTGCTAGTGGTGACCTTGCTGTCTCTACTTTGGAGGCCTTGATTTCAACAAAGGAAAATTTTGCTGATAAAAACACACTCTTATTAGTAATCTGGAGATGAGATAGAGACAGATGTAGAATTGTATCCAGAAGATTATCAAAGTGAATCCAACACCAGTTCTCCTACTTCTTTTGTGCCTGTGGAACTATCATAGCAATTTACCTCTGTTGATTAAGTCTGTTTATTTTATTGTGAATCAGTTACTTACTCCCATGTACAGTCTTACTTAATCCACTACTATGGTTCTTTGATGGGGTAAATGGAGTAGAAAATGCTTTACATCTTGCTTCTTGCCGGAATAGGATAATCTTAATGGTGTTGACTCTTGTATTTGGTTAAATATTACAGCTGAGCAAGACTACAAGGATTATTTGTCCTTGGGAGAAAATGCTATTAACAATTATGTGTTTTTCTTTTAGTGCCCTTATGGTGTTCTGCTCGCCTCACTTTAGCAATATGGGCCTTCTTTGGATTCTTCATTTTGTATGCACTTCGTGTGAATTTAAGTGTTGCCTTAGTGGACATGGTAGAACCAAATACAAGCTTGAACAAGAATATCACCTCAAATGTGTGCCCAGAACATTCTTCCGCTCCCGTAGCTCCTCATAACACCACGGTAATTTTAACAAGTTTATTTCTGAGAATGAATGTGAGCTGTACCTAATTGTTAAGAATTAGATCTATAATGGAAATAATAAATATACAGATAGTTTAAAAAGTAAAGTATTTAGGTATACAATTGACAAAGTGTGCAACAATTAAAGAGGAGAATTATATGAAACTGATGGTGCAAATTAAACAGGATCAGGAGAAATGGAAAGACTTACAACTGTCATTATTAAGAAGAATAGCAACTATAAAAACGAACATTTTGCCAAGAATGCTATATTTGTTTCAAATAATACTAGTAAAGCTGGAAAAAAATACTTTGAAGAATTAAATAAAACAATATTAAAATTTGTTTGGTTAGGAAAGAAAGCAAGGATAGGTTTGAAAATGTTGCAAGAAACCAAAACGGGATTTTGAACTACTAGATTGGGAACTATGCTATCAGGCCTCGGTACCCATGGGTGAAAGAATGGATTAGTTTGAGACATACAAGATTACTAACACTAGAAGGGCATGATCCTCAACTAGGTTGGCCCGCCTTTTTATGGTATGGGAAGAATAAGTTACATGGTTCACCGACTAAACCGTGCCCGACTAAACCGTGTCGCTGACGTCATCAACAGGGCGACAACAGCACGGAGACAAGCACGCTGTAAACCCTAAACCTAAAATTAACACCTAAACCTAACCCTACCCCCCCTAAACCTAATCCTAAACCTAACCCTTAACCTAACCCTAAACCTAATCCTAACCCTTAACCTAATCCTAACCCTTAACCTAAT